TTTCCTGCAATCGTAAAATCCAAAAAAACAAAAAAAACGTAAACACATACATACACACATACAAATGCATAAATACATACATACATACATTGCATACATACAAACCTACATACATAAGTACATACATATACACATACGGACACGCACATGCATAAATGCATACTTGCATACATACATTCATACATACATACATACATACATACATACATACATACATACATACATACATACATACATACATATATGCATAAATACATACATGCGTACAAATATACGTACATTTAAACGCACACCAGCACATACATACATATATACACAGTAATTCGAACATGCATACATGCATACATACATACGTATACACATCTATACATACATACAAATATATAAATGCATATATACACGCATACATACATGCTGATCTGATCGTTCTGTTCCAAATAATTTATTTGTTAACTGGATTCAATGTGCCCTTAATTTTTTGTTAGCCTTTTTAAAATTAGATATTAAAAAAAAATAATTTCAATGTCAGCAGCTTTTAACTGTCATTAATATGTAAATGTTTTAAAAAGATGCATAACCATTGAATTATAATCACATTGTCTTAAAAATCATTTCAATAGAAAATGAGTAAAACAAGTAGGGTTAAACCTTAAAAACAACGACTGTGTCAACAGAAAGCCTGCGTCAGCGAACAAAACAAATGAAAACACGGTATAAGAATTAATTTTTTTTTTAAATATATAAAATATAGCACTTAGTAAGTAGTATCCGTGGGCAGCAAAAGCAATGTGACAGAAAGTAAGTGAGTGAAAGATTAAATAGGTAAGAGCGAAAGAAAAGAGGAGAATTAAGTCCAATGCGATAGGTCGGGACATGGGAATAGGTAAACATTATATATTTTTACTTGTCTAAAAACTATGATACTAAGTATACACTGTCAAACGTCACGACAAACTGGCATATGTCGAAATAAAAATTTTAAACACTCGAATTCAGGCCAAAACCAATAGTCTAGGAATTGGCGTAGTTCCATACCAAAAATATCGTAGCGTGAAGTTTTAACATGAAAAAAAAGGTGACTAATGTTATTGTCGTTCCTTTTTAATACAAAATGTGTACTTTACGGATTTCGTGAATACGCTGACGTCCCCATTATTGACTGTATATTATTTTCAGTTTGAAAAAGTTGTGAATGTTCTGATTGCTTGCAGGAAATTGGTCAAGACAGGTATAGGATTATTTCAATACCATTGTGTGCGTTCGTGTGTTTGTATGTCATTGTGTTTTTTTGTTTTTTGTTGTTTTTTTTTTTCTTGACAAAAAAATTTCTTTAAAAATTAAATACCTATTTGTTAATACAACGTAATTTGCATTTTTTACATGAGCAAATTTTAAGTAAAATTATACTAATTTAAACGAAAAAACAACAATACTATTGCACTTCATTGGTGTAAGTTTTGTACGTATTTGTTTCTGTATACTGTTATTTTTTCCGTAAAAATTGATTATTGTGTTTATCAACCCCACTGTAGTATTGACATATGCAAGAAATGTAAATTGTTAAGTTCCACTGCGTCTTAAGGTAGCCATACACGAAGCAAAGTACTAGCTAACCAATGTTATATTATCCATACTGTTAATGGATTAGAATATCACATTGTGATAGGTATTTTGGATTGGCCTGAGCTCTTTTAGGCTTACATTAAAGTTAGAAAAAAAACAGCTCTCAGCCTTTAAAGTTTTTTTTTTTTTTTTTTTTTAAACCGTTTTAAACAAGGAAATTAAAGCCACCAACTCGAAAGAAAAACATTAATTTTAGGCTTAAATTAAAGTTAGAAAAAAAAAAGCTCTCAGCCTTTAAAGTTTTTTTTTTTTTTTTTTTTAAACCGTTTTAAACAAGGAAAGTAAAGCCACCAACTCGAAAGAAAAACATTACAGAATTATGTCTAGCCCCATCATTGTTTTAAATGGATAATGACAGAGCATTGTTTTATCTTTGCTCGGATTATTTAAAACTTTAAATATAATCTGATACATTTGTCTCTATTTATCTAGTCAGCTTAAGAAACTTTGTAAACAAATTTGTATTTTCGGATACATTCCATTAAGATGTTGAATTTCTTAAACTCTAAAAAACCTCAGTTAACCTTCCACAAAAGTAGTGAGCATTATCAATAAATAATCCCCATAATTTCATTAATATAAATAAATTTGAAGTTGTCACAGGAACCCAAAATTTATCAAAATATGAAATGTTAAATAATTTATTTTTATTTTTTTTTTGTTTTGTTTTTTTAAATGTGTTTTTTTTTATTGTTTTGGACATTCTAATGCATTCATTAAAAGTTATAGATAACACCAAAAAAATCGAAATTAATTTTTTCTTAAAGAGCCTTGTGAATTTTAACATGTTACTTTAAAATAAATCTGATTTAAAGGATTAAGATATGGTGTTTATTTCTATGGAACTGCTCCAAAAGCGTTTTAAACTATTCTCTTCAGAAATTAGAATAGGACACACGAATGTCCCATATTTTTATGCTATGTTTGTTTCAATAAGGTGTAACCTTACTACTGAAGTCAATTAGTCTTTGTCCTACGGGGCCCAATGGGGCCCTATCGTAAGCGTGGTTGCCCTTGCCTGTTGCTAAAATGTACTGGGTAAACTGAGTTTAAATTGCTTAAGGAATATTTTTTTGGTAAAATTGAATTGTTTAATTTAAGTAACTTTGCACAAGCCATTTTAAGATATCATTATATTAAACAAGTTAGATGATTCTACATGTTTAATCCATCTAAGATTAGAAAATTAATACTAAAATGTAGATGAGAAAAAATAAAACTAAAAAAAAAAAATTTTAAAAAGGGAAATAAATACCAATTTGAACATGACATATTATTCAATAATTTAATTAAAAGAGATTCAGACTGTGATCAAAGCGTTCAAGTGGTTTATCCAGAAGCAAAAATTGTGTGCACATAAAACACTATATGTCTATCTTTAATAAAGATTACAGAGAATACAAATGTAACCGTTTCAGAAAATGCCTTCATTTGTACATAATGAAAAACATTTATTACAAATTAATTTTGTTCAAAAATCCAATGTTTGCCCACAAAGAAGCAGTACAAATTAAACCCGGGCATTGGGTATCACAAAATCTTTTCGTTACTTCACAAGAAGAATTAATGAGCTTTAAAAGATTATTTAATAAAAGCATTTTTATATAAATTAATCATTAATTACACGTTTTAAAAGTAGTATTCACTAAAATTTAAATACAATATATTTCGTAGCTTCTAATATTAATTTTTATAGATACAACTAATTGTAAATGACTGATAAATCTAACGAATGAAATGCTCATAGTATAATCAATCATTTATCAACTGTTAATATTTCCCCTCAAGTTCCGTCGCGGAAACGATTTACTTTAAACCACAGAATGTAAGATGGTGTTTCTGCTTTTATTAAGGAAAATTGAAGAACTTTTTTTTCAAGGCAAGCAAAATAAAGTTGTTGTTTTTTTTTTCAAATATCAAATCTTCTGTTTCTTGTTCATATTTGACTCATTGTGTTATATTATATGCTTAATTGTAGTTTTAGATAGAATAGTAATTATCAAACTACTTTTCTTTTGGGATGATGTGAGGTTGCTCTTCAATGTTACTTTACAATTCATATACGGAGTCAGACAAAAAGAGTATTTCTTAGAAATGCCTCTGATCCTCGGACCTTTTATGGCTTGTCAGGTAGCTCAAACCACGCTTATTTTTACGTTTTATTACTTTGATAATATAGAAGTGTTTCTAAATGCTTTATACTTTAATAACAAATATATGAAATATTTGTTGTTGTTTTTTTCCCATTGACTTCTTTTACTGTTTTACAATTATTTACAATTTATATCTCGTAGCGAGAAAAATCGTTCGCATAGACAAAAAAATACGTGCCAATTAGTCGATTCGCGCATGTAAAACATGTAAAATGAATCATTTCATATCAAGCATTAAAACTTAATTCCCTTGATTTCGTATAAAGTCCAATGAATTTCCCTCTCTTTGATAGCCATTTATGACAATGATTTTCTTTAGTGATTAGAAAAATTCACGAATATACAAATTGACTACCATACAATTTACCCTCAAAAATATATATGTATTTCTTTCTTTGAGTTTTTCTTTTCGGACACAAAATGAATATTGTTTATATAATTTAAAAAAAACTGAGGAAATCTTATACGTTTAAATTAAGTTTACATTCATCACTTTTCTCCACCTGCCTTCTCTTATTAACATAAATTATTTATAAAAATTAGTTAAAATTAGTTAATTTATTTTTTTTTCAGATTTCTAACCTCCTTTTTAATTTACATTATGTTTTGTCATAAGTTGATCAAAACTACAAACTTTAACAAATCATAGGTGTAATAATTTGAAAGACTGCCTAGAGTAACTAAAATCTACATAATAGTAAAATACAGTTCATAGCAACAGGTAGTTATAAACATACACAATCGCTATAATCATATGAAATACTTCTTAGTTCAAGGTTCAATTATGTTATAGTTTCTTTCAATCACTGACCATTTAAACTCTGATCAATGATTAATTAGAATTATTGATTGAAATCGTCTTTAAATAAGCTTTAATTGCTGATTTCAAAGGCATTCAATTTAAAATACTTAATTAAATTTAAGAGCAGAAACGAGACTAACATTCTATTAAATATTACTGCTGTATTTTAAAAAATCACTTGAAAATGTATATCACCATACACTAAATTAGAACCGCTGACTTTATGATCAACATTGATTTATTTTTCTAAGAAAAGCTCAAGTCTATAACAACAAATTACTAGTGCATCGACTTTTCTGTTAAGGCCTATTATTGATTTGATCGCATGATTTTATTTTGATTCGGTCATTGCTAAAAATATGCATTATTCGATGTATAAATTGGAAACATTTTGTGTTCAACGTTTGTTAGACTTCTTACTATGAACGTAGATCATTTATACAAACTAAAATTATTGAAACCATTCTTTTTTTATATGTGTGTATACTATGGCGTCGTATAATGCCTACAAAAATGGTAAGACATACTTAATACCTAGTTTTGGCATATAATGAGAAATATGATTATTATTAACATCAAATTTTTTTTAATTTCAGTTATGCGACGTTCATTTTCAATGTTGTAAAATGATTTATACTACATGAAAAAAAATATATTTCTTGACTTTATACAATTTGCCTATACTTCGGGCTTAAAAAAAAAAATGAATAATATTCCAAAGGTTCAACTGAAGAAGAGCACATCACTGGCAAAGAAACATTTGACAGCAAGTATGAGACCTGCAAAAAAAATAACCATGATAAATACATTGACATTAATGATCTGAGTTTAAAAAGATTACCAGAAAACTATCAGGATAGTGAACTTTTGTATTTTATTATGCTTCAAGCTGATTTGACCGGACGTATAGAGGTTACAAATACAGTTGTGAATGGTGAACTGAAAGTGATAAGAGGGACGGGATTTGTTCAAAAAATAAGGCTAGGAAAACTTAGCAATTGCCCATGTCCAAAATGCAAAGGCGAATACGAGGTGTATGCAATATTGACAATAACCACTGTAAATCACGTTGTCGGTACGAAGGACATGTTTAGTAATTCCACTATGTTATTAGAGACATCAAAACAATCTTTCACAATTTATGGAAACAAAATTATAAAGACAGACCGAGATGAAGATAGTAATGAAGATTGGTGTGCAGTTGAATTTGTCTCACATGAAATAGATAAAGTAAAAGAACTTGAAATCACATTAGAGAATTTAAAGAAAAAACAAGGGAAACTTTATAAAAGATACAAAGATGATGTCAAACTGGTTGTAATAACAGGATATCCACATGGTTTAAACAAAAAAGTTAGTTTTGGTGAACTTAGTGGTGATAAAGAAATCCTCAAGGAAGTTAGGGCTAGTCAAGAGTGGTGTAGATATCTATATAACGCCATTACGTGCCCTGGAAGTAGTGGTTCTCCTGTATTTATTCTTGGTCAGCCCGTCTGTGGGTATGGTTACTGGTTTGGACACTCACACAACCACAGTAAGGGATCAAAAGAGGATGAGAGCAAACAAATCAACATTAGCTCCGTTGGTGTTGATAAAAAATAACAATTTATAAATTTAGGTTTCACAATAAAATTAAAAGCAAGAAAATAAATCACCATATCAAAAACAACATTATATATATATATATATATATATATATATATATATATATATATATATAATATTTTAATATAAAAAATAAAAATAAAAGAAAGAAAATAAATCACCATATCAAAAACAAAATTATATATATATATATATATATATATATATATATATATATATATATATATAATATTGTAATAAATAATAAGCTATTGTGTATAGTGCATTTATTGTGCTTTTAATAATCCCTCACAAGTTTGTGTAAGTTAATTCATAATTATATTAATCGAAACAAGATATTAAATACCTAGTATGTTTTTTTCATTAATTTTGAAAAAAACATTGATATTCAATTTCATATATTAAACAGAAAGGGGAAAGTTAAATAATATTTTTTTCGGAATAGCAAATGTTTTGTTTAAAGAAAAAAATATAATCTTTAAAAAAAATAATATAAGGTCTAAAATATATGCTTTCTCATTCTTAACAAAAGATACGCCAAGCCGTGGAAAACTAATGTATTTTTTAAAAATTGTAATATTTCTAAAGCTATCATTTTTTAAAAAAAACTCTTTAACGAGGAGAGATTGAAAAGATGGTCATCTATTTGCTGGTGAAAAAAAAACAACCATTAAATTATATATAAAAATGATAGTAAAAGGCGAAAATAATGTGCTGCTGAAAAAAGGTCTCATTTACTTCCTTTAATATCCTATTTGGTTGTTGCTACTTTACAAAAGAAATCTTAAAAATTGTGTTTTTTGTTACTAGTTGAATTTAATGTATTTTTTCTTTATTACTATTTATACACTTGCAAAAACGTACATTACCCGTACATTTTTCAGGTTTTACACGTATTTCTATTCGAACTGCCGTACATTAGTCTATGGGGTTTTCTACAGGATTTGAAAACAAAAAAAAATTACTTCTATATCAGCAACTCATTTTTTAAAATCATAAATAGAAGAGCTAACAATTCCATGTTTGTCAAAGGGAAGCTTAAATCTTATTTTAGCCGTTCAAAATTAATTTGGCAAAGTCTGGGATTGGTTGGCCATTTATTGTTGATACTGCATAGTTTTTCGGTATTAAATACTTTTTAATTATGATAAACAGACAATTTGTCTAACTCTCATTTTAATCTAAAAATAAAATTAATTCATAAGTTTTTTTTGTTTTTTTAAATTCAACAATACTCTAAATGCCCCTACCCCTTTATTTTTACGGTGTGGTTAATTACCAGAGTGTCCTCTAAGAGTGTTCCTTAGTGTGAGTTTTTTTTTCTTTATTTTCTGAAGAAGTCATTGAGCTGAAAAGTTTATTTTTTTGTAATGAAAAAAAATAAATAAATACATAAAGCATAACTACCATTTTTTCATATCTTTTTTATATTCCACTTTTGTATTAAAATTGAACATTAAATAAAATACAACATTATTTTAAAACACATTTTAATTTTGATGACATTTATGTTGATACTTTCATTTATTTTAGTTTTATTTCATGCTCTTTACTTTACCGCAAGAAGGCTAAGTTTGCCTGCATTCAAAACATTGAGATTTAAAGTTAAATTACAACCAAGTTGTACATTTTATTGTTTTCCCAATTTTTCTCTGCACCAGTTGTCATGCTAAAGTAAATTATTTTTAGGTATTATTTGTACTGTTTTTGATTTGACAAGTCGACATGTATGTATCCAATATTTTCTATTGTCCATTATCAACTTTTAAACAAAATTATGGTTTTTATATTTTTTAAAAAGAAAAAAAAATAATATGTATTTGATGTGCTAGGCTTGTCTTTTACAAGTGTTCCTTAATGTTAGTGTTTTAAATATTTTTTTAAATTAATTTTTTGTTTACTAACAAAATAATTTATCTGAAGAGTACAATACTTTTTTTCTCTAATTAAAAAAACAACAAAAACGTAATTTAATGTTTATCTTGTGTGTTTTTGCTTTTTTTTACTTTTGGGAACAAAATTTATAAATAAATAAAATACAACAGTTTTCAAAAGCACTTTTTGATTCTAAACTTTATCATCTTTATGTTGATACATTCATCCATTATGCTTATAATACCATAACTGTGCTTATTTACTTTCTTTCATTTCCTGAGAAACTATATATATATTTTTTAAATTTTAATTTCTTTATCAGATTATACTGGAAGTATTTTATTTCAATGTTTGAATAAATGAAAGTATTAGGACTTAAACGTGTGAAGTTTGTTAACACTGTCCTTTGTATTTTTTATTGTTGAGAAACAGGCCCACAGGCAGTCCTAAAGACAGTCCGACATCCTACCCTTAGCCTTTTATGTATCAATAGAATTCTGATTTATAGTCGACTAACCCTAAAGCGAAAAGAAACGAAGAAAAAACATGAAACATTTTAAACGTAACTTGAGACTAGAGACCGACCGAAAGTGATTTTCTGATTTCGACCAAAGACGAAAATAGGCTGAAGGTTTAAAATGACTTTCGGCCGAAACTGAAAAAAGGCCATAAGTTAAAAAAGAACTTCGGCCGAAACCGAAGCCTAAACCAAAATGAAATGTTAAGATATTTTGAAATTCGTTCCCGCATACATTCTACATCCATTGAAAATGATGGGGGAAAGTATAAATATTTATAATCTTATTATAAAAAATGAGATAATCGTGAATATTAATAAATAAACATCAAATATGGGGGCCTCAAACTCGCGGACGGCGAGCTATTTGTGACTGAAAAGTTTAGTGTAACTGCGCAGGACCGTTTCCCCCCTTCTCATATCTATAACGTGACTCTCCGCGACGGTTTCAGTCGAATCTCACCGACTAGTCTAATTCTGATTTTTTTTTAAAATTGTTTCTACATATTTTTATATGCAACAGTGAGTAGGTAGATGAAAGTTAATCCTAGATCTTGAGAACCCTTAATGATTTTATTTTTATTTATAAAGGTCGAGCAGATTGTAACAGTTGTAATCGCTTATTTGTGGATTACTTGATGCGGCCCACTCTCATTCAGACACTACCTCCTTCGCCCCCCGCCCTTTGATGATTTGAGTTTGAGACCCTTGATCTAATGAATACTTTGGATTTTACCATTTAATATAAAAGTATATTAAATGGCTTTACAATTTTTTTAAAAATTAGTATGGTAGTAGAAAATTAGGCAAAAATTGGGGGGGGGGGGGGAATTAAAAGAAAAAATTTTTTTTTTTAA